AAAAGCACATTCTGACAGCTTTGCACTTTTTATCGAACGATGACAGAATAAAATGTACGAGGGAAGCGAGAGCATCAAGGGTAGATTGTTTGCGATACTAGTTTAATTTATTACAACCAACTACAACCATTTTTGGTAGCAATCTGCGTAAAATTATTCTTTCAAATATCCTCAGGGTTGTTGAAATACAAGCGATGGAACGAAATTTAGTTGAAATTTTCTTGGGAACTGGTGTACTGCTGGCTATTCTTCAACAATTTAGTAGTGAACATTGGAAAGCACAGTGGTTGAAGATTGTGGACAAGATAGGTGATGGAGCTTTGGCGCATTCCTTAAACACAACTGGATGTAGTTCATCTGGTCAGCCAGTTTGTGAGGGTTTAATGTTTGTAGCTCTCCATTTATTTCTGTTGAATCGGTCAGTGCTACGTACGTATTCGTATATCAGTTCCTATTGATCGTCCAATCACGTGACACAGCTGTTCTTGACAGACACTGACTAATACTCCTCCAATCCGTTTTGCCCATGCGCCAGCTTGATCTGATTGTCAGTCATCGTTTAATCGATTGATGTACTCTCACGATCATTCATTAAATCGTTTACCCGATTCCGATCCGCACGTTGTCGTGTGTTCTGATTTTTGTTTTGGGTTACGGGCCCTAAATTACTGTGCATAGCGTCGCGGTTGGAACTCGGTCTTAACAGTCCCCCGACGGAGTAGTGTGAGGACTTAGTGGGAGGGGAATCAAGCTTTTGGGCAGACCTAGGGTTAACTAGTTTGGTGAATTCACAGTCTGTTATTTATATCCAAGGACGAAGAGCACCCTATGACAGAAGAACCGCAGAACTATTTAAGGATTCGCCTGGTTTCTCGAGAGCTTTTGTTTAAAACAATGTGTGGAGCATAAACGAAATTTAGACAGCGTACGTCAAGCCTAATGGGCTTCGATAGGGACTTCATCAAATGATAGCCCTTAGATTTAAACGTACGTTACTTTTTTCGATGCAGTTGTGTCAGACGGGGAGAAGAAAAACGGTCACATCGGATGTTTATCAAGGACAGGAGACATCAGAACAGAAGGTAAGATAGTGAAGACACAAAGTAGATACATCAGGGTTGGAAAACACAGAAAAGTTTGTCAAAGCAACCATGTCCCTGAGTTTCATGATATTTTCGAGGTAAAGTTGTCGTCTTCGAAGCTTAAGGTCTCAGCAACGGGTAAAAAGATTGTGATTGAGTGAGCTGGGAACTCTCGGGTAAACCTTAGTAATAACGGGACCAGAGGATCTAAGAGGAGAACGACAGGAAACTAAAAACATTTCAGTGTTTTTTACGGAAAATAGATCAAGGGCAGCGTTCATTCTCGTAGGAAAGGTTACTAAATTTTTCAAACTTAATCTAGCTAAAAATCTGATGTCAAAGTGTCAAAGGGAACCATCTATATGATCTATTAAAGCACCAGAGTAGGAATTGGAAAATTAAAAAAATTCATCTGTGGGGCAGGTAAGGGAGATGTATAAGTTTGAGAGAATAACTGACCGGTAATTGCTTAGTTATCTGGGCATGCATTCAAGAATGGATGAGTTTATAAGGGAGGCGGAGGGACGAGGAGAATAGTGAAACTGTTGCACCTGACATCCTAAATATATGTGATAATACCTCCTCCAGGCCTTGGAGACGAGGGGGGGGGATTATCAACGCTATGAGGCTTAAACCAGTGAAGTTCAATAATCTTGCCACCTATTTCATCATGTAGCCCCATGTCTCCTGAAAAGAATTATTCCAAGTTGGGAGTAGGCTCGACATTGAATGAGGTCAGTGACATCTAAGAGATTTCCATGCTGTGAACGGATTTTGTAACTGATAATGGTGGAAACGTATATCTAAGAACTATTTTTTTTTAGGTAAAGCCACTTTCCAACCACTGTGTTGTCCATGTGAGAATTTCTAAATTCCTTTGACTTTATTTTACATAGATCCCCCCCCCCCAAACAGCAATTTCCGGAGTGGAGACGTTTGATCGTAGGGATGTCAATGTGCTGTGCTGATATTTGTGACACGTTTCATGAATTGCACACTGACCGAAGCTATGGAAACACACTTAAAATTGATTCTGTAAAATAATACTTAATAAATGGGAAACCATGAACAGGACGACCGAATTCAAGGGCCCCACCTTGAACCTTATTTATTGTATGGTTAGGCTACACACCAGTTAAATCATAAATACTAATGTATTCATCAATGCCATTGATGTTATATCTCAGTTACTATTACTTTCCTCGATACACGGAACGTAAATCTATCCTTTGAGCAATCAATGAGCTTTAATTCTACTTATAATCACAATTCAGCTGAAAAAGCAAGAAATTGAGGGATTTGATCTATAAACACTATGCAACTGATACATCGAGTGAACTCTAGAACCAAGAACGCAATGATGTACACATTATGAAAATATGATTGGTTTTCGAGAAGAAATTTCTTTCATAATAAAATGAGAAGAAAAAAAGTTCGTTGCGTTATGATGTATGGGCTACACGGACAGATGAAATTGATGAACAAGTACCATGAAAGAAACATCGCATCTTATGTCAAGACTTTATGACACCTCGTTACTGTCCAATGCCAAGTTGAACTCTATTACATCAATATGGAGGAGAGATATCGAAAAATCAAAGACTACTCTCATCAATCCATAAAAGTAAACACACAGAACCCATCCATTGCTTTGATTATCCGGATAAGCTTAAGCGGATAAATGATAAATAAATAAATAGGACGGCAACTGTAACTAGTGTACGTCTCACTGGTTCTCCAAACCTCCTTATATCGAATGAAGATAAACTGAGGAGGCTTAAAAACATTCAGAGTTCAGTTCAAGGGCAGAAACGTACGTAGTACATCTGAAAAAACATTGAATTTACTTAAATAACCATTTCGCTTCTCACAATGAGTAACACAAAATGTATGGCATAGTTTGTGGGGTTTTTTGTCTGAAAGTGAATAAAATGAACAAATAATATCTATATTGGCAAATCTGATTCTTCGAGTGTGCTCAGATTTCAGCTGAATTCAGCTTGACCATCCCAAATATAACTAGTTAGTAAAGTGAAGGGAAAATGTATAAGGCACGTATTGCACGCAGTATGGATGCGGTTTGAACTGACCTCATCCCTTTGTTGTTTCCCTATACATCAAAATTCAGTTTTTGATCCAGCAAAATGAACAATTCATAAAAGCATTATGGATTGTTAAATCGGTAGCATTAAATAAGTGTATGGCTTCAATTAAAAATAATTATTGACCATTCCATCATAAGTCAATGAAATGAAACACTGTCATGCTGCGCACGCGTTCAGAATCCTCTACAGCATAAACAACACCAAGGTTCTGAAATATGCCGAGGCACTAGCCATTTAAAATTACCATCCCAAACTGTGTAAACAGCGTAAATGTTTTATCACTCTGACGCTATCTTCGTAACAAATGTGTTTGGTGAATAATTTTGACCGCAATCTTTCCCCGCCTATGATTTTGTTATTCATTGACCATATATTAATGATCACATAGACTGCAGTATGCATCTGTACAGATGCAGCGAAATGATCCAGGATACATTGGGCAAACCTGCGTTTTTGGCTTCTTTATTCGAAATGAGTAGAATTAAAACTTAGGCATTCATGCAACTCAAGTAGAACGATGCAACTTAAACGCTCCTCTGTCTCTCTTGAAATTATCATAATCGAATGTCTATCTAACGCTTCAACAGTTAATTGAGTGCACTTGTAAGAACACCTTTAAAATAATACTGTTGATATTGTTGACTACTATCTACCTGAGAATACTGGTTTTTCAGGTAATCTCGGCCACTGTCAATGGCGTGCACCCTGGTTAGTATTTGCAGCACATTTCCCTAAATTAGGCGGTAGGTCAGTGCGTAATTAACCGGGTTGGTTGCACACTAACCTTATTCTGTTGGATCGGCTATGAATCACCTAGGATTCTAATTACTGGCCTCTTAAATTGAACAGCAGGTTTTGATGATTACAGGTGTAGAATAAATTCTGCCTCATATGGACATTTCACATGCACACACCAAGTACCGCCACATATTTCCATTGTCCTCCTTTGACCGGGTATTGTTGATTTCATCCTCCCATTGATCCTCGCCTTTGACTGTTCTCCTCGCCGTTTACACAGATGTACACACTATTAGTATGTTTGCTCTACTACGTTGTTCTTGGTCGGTCTCACCTGTCTCATCGACCCGTACCCATGATCGACTGAGCTTGACACCTGTGTACACAACGCACACACCTACACAGGTTTACCGCACCGAATGTCACGGCGGGNAGATTCATGTGATCTTGTTTGACATTGTGCGGTGTATTCGTTCTATTGTCATCGCCTGCTTGCTCGCAGTTCTTGCTTGTAGAATTTACTGGCTTCACAGATTCCGATGTTTTTTAACCCGAATAGTGCCACAGTTTGAGGTTTGCACATTTTACACTATTGTAATCTGCATTTCAGTACCGCGTTTGTAGAAGAAACCCATTTGTTGAAAGATACCGTCTTCCGAGTTTTTTTGCGCGTCACTCTACGCGGATAGTTATAGCCTATGAAGTCAATAACAGGTTTAAAGACTTATGCAGTTTACGTCACAATGCAGCATGTAATGATGAAAATAAGGGATTGAAGCATCCCATTCCATAACCTAGTATGGTTGCTGTGTTTGCAAGATTTTAACCTTGTCCCAATTTGATCTATCTTCTCTCATTGATAAGATTGGAGTTTGTTCAAACAGCTATCAAAACGATTGTAAGTAGGTTAAAAAAAAAATAAGCTCATCTCAGCCGCAAACGAAATAGGATTCCTATTCCTGCTCTGCTAAACTGTCGGTCTCCACAGGTAATTCAAACAAACAAAATATAAAACATTAAATTGACTCAACAACAAATAATTGAAGTGTGAAGCAAAATTCCACCGATTTGCTCTTTACAAACTCACAGCGTAGTTCATCCTTTCAAACGATTCTTTGATGACGTAATCACAGTTTGGCCACATACAAACAGAGGTTTCGCCAACTGTGGTAGAGCCATCGGAGTAGTAGTGATCGCGTACTATATGAAAAACTAAATCTTCTTTTGAACAAAAGCCAAGTAAACAATTGGGAATCTACAATTTAAAAAAAAATGCGAGAACATTAGTGCATTCATTTACACCATTTTATTGTACAGAAATCAAGCAGTACACTTCCAGGAAGGAGGTAAGGCCAATCAGAAAGTGTCAGGAGACTCGGGGAACTGGAAGTTTTAACTGCACTAGTGAAATTGGTTGCCGTGAATCCCGAGCCTAGACACTTTGTTCTCGTTTTCTCATTCCTTTTTACTCCCCTTTTTTGAATAGACAGATGCAATTTGCGGAAACTATTCCGCTGCAATCAGTCAGTGAAACAGGACAACGAGAATTTTTTGAAACAAACAGTCTGTTTGAGTTCTACTTTATTTCATTATTTTTGGATTTGAACACTACAGCTCAGGGAGACATTCAGCATTGAGGTCTAGGAATTTCACAAGATATGGCAGAATATATCTAGTCATATTCTTTTCGAAATAAGAAATGAATTGTGTTATTCATGAACGAAACTCATCATTCGAACATGTTCGTGCTTTCCTCAGCACTTATATAAAATTCTTCAACAACCCTTGAAATCAATCTGTTGATTACGTAGATTTCTTGTTACCACTGAACTTAAAGATAGAAAAACTGGTTGTCCTAAACATCCACTGCACATAGTCTGAAAAATGCTGGGAAATTGAGAAGTGTATTTGCAAACAATGCCAGCCCTTACTGACTGAATTTATTTCGGTTGAAGAGAGAACAGTCCGAGAAACTTCAAATGCGAGGGCAAACAGTGTGCTGGACGAGTACCAAAGTTCGTGCTTTTGGTTCGACATGACGCACGTTGCCAATAGAGCAGGATAACTGACGCTGTTGCATAGTATATATGCCACGTATTATTTCCTGACAAGGTTTGTTTCCGTTGACTGAAAGTAACATCGTGATAAATGTATCCTGGATCTCCTTTTAATCAGATGATTTGTAATGATCCGCTTTGTGTCTTACGGAGACTTTTGTCTCTATTACTTGAAGCAGCACATTGCTTACGTGTATACATTGGTACACAAATAGTCAAGTGATGGAAAAAATAGTGGAAGCATCAGACGCGACTGCACTAGAACACAGGCGGAAATTTTGTTTGCAAAACCCGATTTTCCAATGCGGAGGTATTTGTTAAATATTTCCCACCATCTAACAACCGGGTGATCAAGAGAGAAACTAAATTCTAATCCTCAGAAGTTACTCTGCAAATCATTGAAATATTCAAAGTAATGGTACAAGACTAGGAAACAGTTGTCTTCCCTGTTTCATGCACCTACAACAGTTCTACTACCTAAACACTATTTAAGATTCAATGTAATGGTTCAGAGAGTTACTCATGGAATACCACATAGATTTTGCCTTGAATTGTCATCACAAAGACCTTAATGTTTACGTAGTCGTGAAATCCTGAGGTTTGTCTCCATCATAAACTGAATATTTATTTTCTGCAACTAAATGACAGCTAGGCAACTATCTTTCCTGGGCAATGCAGGTGATTTCAGTAACCGGCGATCCTCTTCATTGATGTGAATCTGCTGACGGTTGAAAAGCCGGAGCGTTATACAGGTGGAGATATTGGAGCCCTACCAGCAATCTGATATCATCATTTTGATCTAACCAAAATGACATTTTCCACATGTATTCAAAATCACATCTTTGAGTAGTTGGGCCTAAATGGTCTATACCCTTAGACTTTCGGACACTGAGTAAATGTGATTAGGTAGTATAAATACATAGAGTACCAATCAAGCATGTGCGTTCTGAAGCCCATAATCGATACGACATTTCGTTGCATTCAAACGTCCTCTGTCCAAACCTTATTTGTCAACGCTCTCTACCGACAGTAAGATTGTTAATGTTTACGCAGTAAAAGACAAAGCACCAGAATGTACAAGCGAATGTTTTCCCAAGAAATTTATCCTGTATCATATTAATTAACAGTGAGATATAACTCCTTTCAAGTCGAAATTTATTTGAAACAAATATCCAAACAAGGTGCAATGTTTTTTCGTAAGTTGTTTTCGTAAACTTTTCACTGGAGGGTTTTCCTATTCTTAACCGGAATGCTTTAGCAATAGATTTTCATGACCATACGTTTCACTCCATACGAACTAAAACTCCCCTGACCTTAGAAAGAGAGTTAACAGATAGATGGTAAACATATGGTCCTTACCTGACACGCGTAGCAATCATTTGGCACTGGAATAAAATTAATTTGCCCTTGATCAGTACCGGCTATTACCTGAAAAAGACAGAAACCGTTATTTTAAAGTCAGATACAAAGTTTTATTATGGGCGTTTTAACAAAGCTAAAGCTTTTCATGCCCCATAGGATTTTTACAGAATGTTTGAATAACTTCACAAAGAGAAAATAACAATGATAATAATGTGTGTGATCACTCACGGATGTTGAAATTTTAAGTGTTCCAATGCTTTATCCAGTTGCGATTTAAATAGTTCAACTGTAGGAGCACACACTACATCAGATGAGATAGAATTCCATACGCCACACACTCTGACTGCAAACGAGTGATTCAATCAAGGTGGCTGTTCTGGGTCTTCACCTTTGGTGGATGTCACCTGAGGTGATTATTATGAGATACAGTCAACACAGAACGCCAATTGTGGTTGGGTTGATGCAATGTGATATGCCAACATTAGGCCTCCCCCCGCCGAAATCGGCGGTATTGAGATAAGTAGGGTCCCAATATTTGCAGTCTTTCGGAGTATGTCGTGTTATACAGACCTTTTATCAATTTCAATGCCAGCCTTTGTGGACGTTCTAGAGCCTTCTTGTCGCGGTTTAACCACGGATTCCATACTTGAACGGTGTACTCCATGTGTGGCCGAACGAACGCTGATAGCAAGCGTGGGAACAGTGCCTTTTCGAACTGCCCGAAAACACTTCTGAGTAGTTCAACTTACCTTATAGCCCTGGAAGATGCTCTGGCACATTGCGTGGAACATCCTACGTCCTCCTGTACCACAACTCCCAAAGCCCTTTCGTCAGTGGCATGCTGTAGTATTTGGTTCCCCAGAACATAGGGGAAACGAGTCTTGTGCTGCAAGGAAATAACTCTGCATGTGGAAACGTTGAACTTGATATCATTAGCGATTGACCATCGGTGGGCTGCGTCGATCGTTTGTTGGAGTGCTATATACTCCTCAGGATGTGTTACGGTTCTCCAACTCTTAGCGTCGTCCGCAAATAGCAGTGTATTAGGCCCAAGGACATGTGGCAGGTCGTTTATAAATGCAAGAAAGAAATGAGGCCCCAGTACGGATCCTTGAGGAACGCCCCGGGCAGCGATGATAGGCTCTGATAATGAATCACCAACCCAAACTGACATGGTCCTTCGTCGGAGAAACTCCTTGATCCAGTCCAGAACCAAACCTCTTACTCCGTAGTTGTACAGTTTTCGCAGTAGAATTTGGTGGTTTACTCGATCAAATGCCTAGGAGAAGTCCAAATAAACTATATCCAATGGCTAGCCTGCATCGACGGATTTTGTCCACTCATCCCGTGCAAGGAGTAGGTTTGTGGTGCACGAACGCTTGTGTCAAAATCCGTGCTGAGTTGGAGAAAAAAAGCTCATGCTTCTCCAGATATCCCATCAACAGATCTGCCACAATAGCTTCCATGACTTTCGACACTATCGGAAGAAGTGTGACAGGGCAGTAGTTGGCGGGATCACTGCAAGATCCCCCTTTGTAAATGGGGGAAATCACCCCTTTTCAGTTGAACGAAAATACAACGAACGAATATCAGGTGAATAAGAAGAGTTTGGTTTTCTCGAGATGATTGTGAAATTGGACCGAAGTAATCCAAGGATCATAGGCGAAAAGAGCTGGCACGTAGTCATCAATCTAAACAGCTAGTTTATTCACTGATACCTTTTAACAGGCTTTCAATTTTACGCATATGTTTGTTCATACGCCTACCGCACAGGTACTGTATAGAATAGTCAGTCTAATATCCAATATAACTCAAAGATCGGATTATCTGTGCTGTTCAAGATGTGTGCAAGGCAGTACGGCATTCCGGCAGGCTATTCATGTCATCCAAAGGCATTCTTCCGGTATAAATTGAAACGAAATATCATCTGGAACGTACGATGGAGATGGTAGCTACTCTCTTAAAATCAAGTTCTGATGAGTTCTGATGGAATCATCTGAAGCCAATTCACTCAGAATTATCGCAGTACATAGGATATTTTCATTTTTATCACTCCAGTGAATTGGATATATATATACTTCCTGGGAGAAAGCATATGAATGAACTGACAACAGATTACCGGATACGCATGCCTGACGAGCGGCAAGAACTGCGAAACCGGTCGTGTGCTTCCAGGGAAATTTTATTCAGTCATCCACATAGTACTTATTATATACTTATATATCAACTAACATCAGTAGTTCAACAACACAAACAAGCATTTCTGTTATTAGCTTATCAGAAGTTTTAGACAAACTAATAAAAGGAGTCCTAAAGACGAGCACTTGTTTCCCTGAAACGACTTACAACTTCATCGTCGTGAAAAGTGGATGCTAGAGCAGTGATTGTTGAATCAGATGGGTATACATAGAGAAGAGCCAGACAGCCCCGGCCGCCAAGATCACGACGTCGTTGGCTATCAAAAGCGGACAATTCGAGAAGGTGTCTACTTCCCGTTGCCGCCCAAAGACGTTCATTTGGTTTGCCTTGGGACGAAGATCCGAGAAATTTGTACGGCCATATAGACGGCAACAACGTAGCCGGTTGGGTACACACAGGAAGTTTCATGGAAGAAACCATATCAGCGGACTGGAGAAAGAAGAAAAGTAGAAACGCGCAAGCATGACGCGATAAAGGTCACGAGGTTATCCATAACACCTTTCACAAAGTTTCATCTACTGAAATTTGAGACACGACGCGAAATGTGTGCACTGGTAAAAGTTTACATTTCCCTATTCATTAGAAAATGAAAGCATTTGATAGATACAAGACAACATTCACGACACAAAAATGAAGTAAGCGGACGAAAAAAAGATAGTTACCAAAAATTAATTCAGTCAGATGCATTGTCAGAAAATTAGGTCTGAATAAGTTCAATGTGGAAAGAATCTTTTTATAGAAGTAAATGACGAAAGCACTATAACATAAATATGTCAGGTCTGGAGCACTTGGTTTCTATATAAATTTGAACACAAGTGATCAAAAAACGGACGTTAGCAATTAATGTTTGAAAAAAATATTCTGCAACCTACCCGATGTTTACAATATACAACAAATCATTATGACCTTTTTCAGATAGAGAAAGAAATATTTAGAATTCCATTGATGAAAAGCCATCTGAATTTCACAGTCACTAAGCCTCACGTGTGTAATTATATCATGTTTTTGACTTGAGCATTGAAAGTTTTATCCCCCACGTATTGAGTGCAACTTATTTGTGTTATGTGACAGTGGACAGAGTGCTGTTTCCTGTTTCTTGGGACTTGTTAGTAACGAATACATTTTCCATAGTCGAATCGCGAATCCTTGGGTTGGGAGTTGAACCCCTTACCGATGGACAACCAGCGCCTTGAGTGAAGGGCTTCTTTCATTTAGAATATCATATTCGGAAAAATCACCGATTTCGCAATTACCGTTCTGTTTTTACTTTCGGTCTTTCATCGGGTTAAAAATTAATATAAATATGTATATCCTTACAGCGAATGTATTCTATAGATGTGGATTCCCTTTTCACTAATGTTCCGCTCCACGAAACAGTTGATTTTTAATGTGATTACATTTCTTCAGGTAATTTTTCCCTTGCCATTCCTCTTGAATACTTAAGAGAACTAATATTTTTATGTACCGAAAACATACGTTTTGAATTCGAAGGAGCCAAATATAAACAGATTGATGGTGTGGTCATGGGCAGTCCATTAGGCCCAATTCTAGCCGATGTATTTTTAGGAATGACTGAACAAATTCTTGCCAATAATATTTCCTGGTCCACCTTGTACCGACGTTATGTGAACGATATGTTTATTCTTACGGAGCGTGAACATTTTGAATCCTTTTTGAGGCAATTTTACTCTGTTCGTCCACATCATTCCGTATCCTACGAAGAAGAAAGCAATGATTCTCTAGCATTTTTGGATATAAGAATTACGAGGCGCTTAGATGGTACATTAAAGCGTTCGATCCACAGAAAAGCAACATGGAGTGGTCAATATCTACAGATCTCTAGATTCCCACCCATGGCTTACAAACGTGGACTCGTAAAACTCTGTTCCATCGCGCCAAAAGAATTTTTTCCCCAGACACACTACGACAAGAAGATGAATTTCTGAAGAAAACGTTACTACGAAACGGTTACCCTAAAAGATTCATTGATATTGACAGTAAACAATCTCAAAAAGGTAACCCATCGCCAACTGTTCCCCAGAAAGCCGTTTACATCAAACTGTTTTTTAAAGGCGATCACCTTTTGAACGAAGTGCACCAAAAGTTGAAGTTAGCTCTCAATCGCACATTCCCAGCTGCTCAACTCCGACTTATTGCCTCAACTCGTGGAATCGATTTGGACAAACATGTACATGGTTGGCAATTCAGTTCTGTCTCACACACAGTATACCAGTTCACCTGCAGTTGCGGCGACGCATACATAGGCAGAACCAACTCTCAATTATCACAGCGGATGGCCGAACGCATTCCAAAGTCGACAGCGCAACCCACGCCCAGTAATCAGGCGGTCCCACGTAACCCGGGGTCATCAATTGCAAAACACCTTATGACAATCAAGCACATAATTGATCCCGCTTCCTCTTTCAAACCGTTATTACGTAATTGTAACGCCAAACTGTTGGCTGTAAGTGAGGCATTGCTAATCCGATTACATAATCCCGTTCTGTGCGCCTAAAAGTTGTTGATCCAATCAGTTCGCTTGCCGTGGAGTTGACCTACATTTTGTAACTCTAGTAGTCCCTGTCTAACTGTACATGTCCGTTCACTAGGAGTTTCAAATCTAATGTACTATAAATGTGCTTAAAAGAAAGAAGTTTGAGCGTATGTTTCCGGTAAAGGTTAAAAACCCTCAAAAAAAGAGGGGTGGGCATAGTAATAGGACGCACAACAAACAGTATTCGCAGCAGTCAAAAACCTTAACTAGCACATTTGGATCCTATGAATCTAGATTGACTTACGGGACTTATTCCAATTTTACCCACCGTATCAAGTCATCAAATATGTTATGCTGATTTTGTCTCGACTACCATTTATCTCGGAAAATATTTCACGCTGTGGAGACACTGCCTCCTGTGATGAGAGAAAACTCGTATCGATCGAGCAGAAGAGCACAGTTCAGTCAGCCTCTTCCTTTTCTCGTGCTGTCATTTATTCCCGTCATCATAATCTAGTGTAACAAAATTAAACAGTGCAACTTAATTGTAAGTTGCTCAAATAAGCTGCACCACAGAAGTGTGGTGTCAGATGGCAAACAAAGCAAAATATAAGTTTTGGCTGCAGCCAAGTAACTGAGCCCTTCAATGCCAGAAATATATAGGCATTGCATTGCGTTATTCGAGAGAACAGCGTCTCAATGTAATTTATCCACTAGAATATTTGGGGTCTGTGCCTTTCCAACTTCAAGTGAATTCACCATAAATTCAAATGAATCCGTTGTAACTTCAAGTGAATCCAACCAATCGCATCCCACGGGAACCCCACAATATGGCTGGTGTTTTGGCCTCCGAACGTCACCGATTCCACCTAGTCCGAAAGAACTCACTTCTCCGAAAACAAACAAAAGTACTTTTGGGGTGGAATACCAAGCGAAACAAAGACAAGATCGCTAATCACAACGGATAACACGACACAAAAGGGGAACAAGAGAGGATAAAGGTTTCGGTGGGGTGGGCTGTTCCTTTGAATCACGTGCGATTGCTTACCTATTACTGATATTGAAAGACACACTTGACAAGATACTTTGCACGCATAAGCTAAGGGGTGACTGCTACAGTTGACTTTTTCCCTCGAATCGCTCACCACACAGATCAAAGATGACTCCTCCTTCGTCAGCGACGAAAATAAGTCCAAATGTTGGTGATGGTTTTCACTAAACTGGAATAAACCACAGTGGTTGATAGTTTGTACCATTTGCACCCCAACGAAAAGCGAAAGGTCAACCTGCCGAACCTAGTGGGCTGGTTTTACATGATTTTTTGATTTTAGCAATGCGTGAACTGCCTACCTTGACTGGCCTTTAATCACAGCGTGCCCTGGAAAGTGCTGCCTAGCGAGGGGCTGCTTCTGCATAAAATTATCCACAACCGTAAATTGGGAAACCAGTATACTGTAATTGTAAATGCGCTCTAAGTTATACGAAAATCCTCAAGCAATCCGCATATTGTTTTCAACAATGCTAAAAATCTCGGGCCTTTATCTCCCATTCACAAAAACGCTCAGGGAATAAAACAAATAATTAACGATCAAATGTATTAAAAATCAAGCATTTTGATGGCTGTCGGATAACGTACAAGAACATGATTAGACGCATGCTAACAATGATCCTTCGTGATTTGAGACTTGACATCACCAGTAGTACTTTCTAAGCATGCTATTCTCCAATCCTGTTGGTTCATTCCTCCTTCAGGATTACCCGGCATCATCTTGGCATATAGAATTCGGAGTTTCGCTTTGATGTACTTTTTCGTACTGCTCCATATCATTTCAATCAGATTCAACGCTGAAGGATATGGAGCAAGTCTGAGAGTGCTCACTGTTCCTCCGGCAACCATGTTTTGTTGTTTATAGACTGAACTTTTTCACGCAATGAATCTTATGTACATTCACACCTGAACACAGTGACCGAGTTATCGACCCATCTTGACATGATTTGCTTCCTTACCCGACCGATCGAGGTCAATTGACGACACGTTCGTTCATTCTTGTCTTTCGCTCACTCGATCAACCGTCAAGGACATAACAGCTTCAGGATGGGGAATGAGTAGTCAGACCACGCCCCACCGAAAATTTCAACCTCGCTCGGGAACTCACTCTAGAATTACTTTTATGGAGAATCCAATCGGTGACGTGTGACGGCCGATGTACCAATCACTTTGTGAGGTTCCCAGCGGAATGCGATGGGTTGAATTCATTTGAAGTTAAAAAATGTAGTGTTGAGTGAGAGTAGTGATATGAAAATTCGTTAGGGTCCTGTACATTAAGCTAAGATGACATTTCTTGAAGAAGTTATTGCTCGAAGAGATTTTAAAAAAAAATAGATTTTAATGGTATGGGACGGAATGCATCTCTTGAGTGGGTAATAGCTTTCCATCCAATATCACTCATTCAAGAGAAATGAGTGGGAAAATCTCCCTACATCTCTTATATTGTCCCTAGTAAGCGGGACCAACTCTCACATGTAAAATAATTTTAAACATAAGTAGTGTAAAATAATACGAATAACATACCTCTCAACCCGTTTGATAAGCTCCGAAAACCTCTCGGGATCATCACATAGCGGAATAACGGGGTTTGCGCAATCTTCATATCTAACCACATTAATCGTAGAAGCCTATCGATACTATGTTTTTTTCCGCAATCTTTTCAAAACAAACTTAACGGCTAACAAACGCTGGCCCTCCTAGTAAACGAAAACAGAAAGAGTGCTCGGTGATAGCAATGAGGAAACAAATTCCCTTATCATACTTTGATGAAACGTGATGAAATCTAACGACAGTTTTGTAAACAACGGTGTCGATTGTTGTCTTTGCAGATCGGATAGTATAGCTTGATGTTCAGTTGTTCGCCGAGCATGGAAATTTTATTGCAAGCATTTCATCACCAATCGAGGTGACATTCTCAATGCAGTAGCTGTTACTGCACTTCCGAACAAAATTTGAATGTACAAATTCCTCTGTGGTTCTCATAGCAGGACCTACTTCATTTGAACGACTTCTACGGAACTCTTTAACTCGCTCATACTCAGACAAGGTTCTTTGTAGACATCAAGGCTCAAGGTGAGCTCCCAGCTCTACAAAGAACAGAAATTCCCTTCGTTGCAGAGGAACGGTACTTAAAACTAAACTAAAATGATTGGCCCCGTACCAATAGTAGCAACTTTCTTTAAATTATTCAAGTTGTTATCCAACAACTCATAGCTCTCCGCCGTATGTTGTCAGAAAGTGGTCATTTGAGGAACCAGCGCATACTCTAATGTTTGGATACGAAAAGAACGGCCTCGTTTATTTTTTAGCAAAAATACACAGATCGAGGAACTTCACCAATCATTCCTCTATTTCAGACTCCATCATTCTATTTAAACGTTTGAGTGGCTTACTTGAACAGTGCCACATATTTATTTAACCATTCGACAAGCGATCGTATTGTGCGACGACGAAATAATTACGCTCTGATAGTTCATTTGCAAGTTTCGCTTTGCAACCTTTGTACACCGGTTTACAGTTGTTACTGTGTGGTTGTGTAATAACCCTATACAAAATAGGAATTTGTGGGTATCAAGTCAAGTTAAGTCACAAATCGCTTTGTTCATCCTAATGGAAGGATTTCTCCACACACGTGGGTGAATAACGGTTATAAATAAGAAAAATTCAAAACAGTAATGACCATTTGCGATACAGTTGGCTTGGGAACATCAATTATAAGAATGGATGGACCAGTTTGAAAAACGGTATTTCTTTTGTTTGAAGAGGCTGATGCTCTCTGGCAAAAAGCCATTCACTGTACTTACATGTCCACCAGTGCTCGCCAGATTGAACAAGCTTGCTTTTAGGCCCTGTGGGGACTTTCTTACTCATTCTTCGGTGTTGAATTTACAGCAGACAACTGCGATGTTTGTAAAGCAAAACTTTGAAGCAATAGTAAGACAACGCTTATCTATCATCTCACAATACCTGAAATCAATCGACCTACACAGATGCTAGACGAATAACCAACCAAGTTTCATTTTGTTGCTGTTTGACCACGCAAAACCACCAAATCAAATGAACTACATTAGACTACAAACTGGGATCCAATCGACACGCTACTGATAAGCCTTGAGGTTTCGCGGCGGTTTTGATACCGGCATAAGCGCAAAAGTGGCAACCGCCTAATCATCGTACACACGGAGAACGCATCATAACAAAAAGCCATTTTGTGGAACTTATTGGACGCAGAAGACATGCAACAAAACAAAATAAAAGGGTATGAATCGCGATGAACAATACAGATAACTCACTTTATTGCTAAACCAAAATACGTCTGATGTTAGGCACAGACAAATGCTTGGTGCACCACCAGTTTCGGCATAGGTTATTCCTATAAGTTGACTGTCCGGTTCGCAATGCAAGGTTTTATCGACGCAGAGAGCAAGTTTGAGCTGTGACATCCTCGGGACCCAACGGCACAATCGTACAGTTACTCCATGCTTGCATTCTGAATTCACCAGCGCAGCAGCGATGAAGCTGAAGTGACCAATGGGTAACTCCCTTTTGGGTGTCGAAGGACTGCGAGGAGAACAAGACCCGGTGCTCGGGTTGGAACTTGACTGTGGTTGCGGTGCCACGCAACACACGTATGGGATTGTGCAATCGCTGTCACTAAGCTATGATGCAAAATGAAATCGTGAAACAAATCGAATGAATGGGTCAGTAGAAAGAAGCACCGTATTCAGCAACTGGTATATGGAATGAAAACAGTAAGAATAATAAATGTAAAAATAGTTACTGGTGAGATTAATCATTTCCTTAACCGGCAATATCCCAAATGCTCTAGTAACGGAAGATTAGATCCACCAGATATGTAAGAAAGAACTTTATCATACCATACTGTTTTCTGACGCTAATTTTTCACGCAGACAGATTTTTTATCAATACCTGGTCTTTATCACTTTACACTGATCCATTGTGAAATTTTCAGAAATTAGAGCCTTTCCTTGCACTTATTAGTCACTTCCATGGTCATTTTCGCTGAACATCGATTATCCACTAGAAAACATGGTAATTCGATAGAAGCAAACACCAAATGGACCCCAGTTTGCTCCCTAACTACCCTCACATGACAAGCAACATATTTTGTACTTATATGAAATAATCATCGACCCATTCATAGAATAGTGTCATTTGTATCGACAATCGGTAGTACTTTACGTTTTCCCACAATTGGATCTAACCGTATACTAGAATGCTAGAAAGCATCGTGTAACTGTATTGACCTTGTTGACTTTCACCAGCAGTACAAAACCACTTATCCAAATGAGCATTGAATTCGGGACCGAGAAATAACCCCGAGATGCAAGTGCTCAGATCAGCGAGTTGAAAGGTCTGCAGCAGCGCAATTTCCAGGGTGAGTTGTGCCATATCGTGCATCGACACATTGAAAAACGCCTAATCGGAGCTACCCAGTGGTCCAGTAAGTTGTATATCTACATTCTACTTGAGAGATCCCGGGTTCGATCCGAAGCTAAGTAGATGGGTTTGTAATCCTGATTAAACCAAACGAAGTTGAAACACGTGTACGTTTCTCCTCCTGTACGTTTCTCTCGATTTCAGTTTAAATTGATTTTTACCGGACAGAATTCAGCACAAAAACCCTAGATTGCTTAAAAACCCAAAATCAAAACGTGAATATACCACCCTCGAACGTTTTACTGATACGGTGGTGATTAAACGATAGACTTGGACGCACTATATTCTGTGATTTAATGAACGTTGCTGTAAACTCAGAGAAAAATATATATATTCAAATAAACCAGTGTATTAATTTAAACTCCCAAAGAATTCTGTCATGAATGCGTCTTTGAAAAGAACTGAACCGTTTCGAATGGTTTACTGTATGTCCGATCAACAATTCTACCGATCGCATCTATACCAACAGCAAAACTGGTTTTCTTCAACAATATATGTTAGTTTTCATTAGAATATACGGCTTGAAGTTCATTCCTGGTGCCGATGATTTTCCTTTTTCTAAAGACGATCAACGTATACACACTCATGAGTTTCTGCAATACACCCGTCACTTTCGATTCTACTCATTTTCTATACGTCGCTTTATCCGTATCTTATGTTCAAACCTTAAACTATTGGATTAGTATCTATCTGTCTCACTCAACCCGTTGACAAACAGAAGTACAAGACGAGCAGAGTTTATCGTAATCATGAAACAGCTCCATCATTTAAAAACTCCAGATTGGCATGAAAACTGACGAGGAGACCAAGTCCAGGACCAATGTGATTGGCAGGAATGCACGATGATTGTGTCAATCACGCTTCACCTATGCCATAAGTTATTAGTTCGAAGTGGAAACTGCTCCACGACTGACTGTGAAGCCGAGCACATGCGCTCAGACAATGTCTCATCAAGTTATTTTGCGAGAAGACTCTAAATAGTTAGGTTTGCTTAAGAGGCAATTTTATCACGGTGGTCAATGGAATTGCACTGATAATGATACACTGAAACAGATATACACATACTGTAGTTTGAATATTTGGATCACGTGTTCTTTGCTTTCTACAGTACCTTCTTACGTTTATTCGTCCTAGAATGTAGGGGACTAACGTTGGTTCGGGTTGAACCAGCTTCACACAACAAATATTCACCACCACCGATCTGGGTAGTTTCTTGTTTAACTATCAAGATAATGAGTGACTGCGATGTGAATTCACATGTAATAGAAAATTGAAGGTCCGATTCATACTTGATCGTGGGGTCACTTGCACTGTATGCATCTGGATTGATAGTCTACATCCAGGCACACAGCTGCGTGGCACCTGGAGCGTCCCCAGATCGGTGTTGGGAGAATGGTCATCAGTTTGATGGCTAACTGTGGATAAGGTGAACTCAGGCTCCATCAGCGGCAGTACCTGAGAAGCGGATTGCTGTCTGAACGGACACTGTTCTTCTTAGAAAATCCACGAAATCTCCAAGATCTCAAGTAATAGAGCCTGTTTCAGCGGTGGTGTACGTACTGAAATTCTCAGTCACCGGCTTTTTGGAAGCTATTAGAATGTAGGATTTCTGATTTGCATCAGTCCAAAGTTGTATGAGTTAGGATACCGCTCACTAGATCTCCAAGTTTTACGAAGCTTACCTTGCTCTGCTGCCTTGCAGACCGGGCCTTTTCGGCCAGGGGGTGGAAGTGCGGCTATATCCTAGTCTGATCTAAATAGATGGGTAGTGCTTCAACCGAAGTGCCTTCCTCGTTAAGAAACTAAATGACATTATGGATGCTAGTTTGTGTCACTTTCCCGTGGATCCTTATGGATTTGGGTCCTGAAATGCGGATTGATCATGCTACATTATCTCCGAGTTGCGATTCATCCTGCACTTCACAAGGGCCACGATGAGCCAATGTATATTTCATATTTTTCAAACATGCCTGAGTGATCTTAACACGAACCTCAACAGCAGGTGACAAGTTTAAATAGCTTCATGGAACATGAGAGCCCCTTTGGACAAAGACAGTAGGTGAATCACTATGTGAACATTCCACGATTATGGAATCGACATAGCCTGATTCTCTCAGGTACATCTACCTAACTGCGACGCTTGACATGTCCAGGTAACTAATGTAGACGCATCCTAGTAGGCCAAGAGAGAATTTTGGGCTCCATCGGGCTGTAATTGCAATGAAAAGTCGAGAACAAAGTGCTCTGATCTCTTGAGAATGCATTTCATTAAGGATCGTTCCAGTCTGGTTTCAAAGCATACCACTTAATATGGCAGTAATTGTAGTCCATATTCAGACCCCACATGCTGAGCAGACAACCTCCGCAACACATTCCACAACTCAGTCAATCGAATCAGACGGGAATGCCCGCGCGGGCCCTATGGATGATCATGGGTAACAGATTGGGGAAATTCGGTCTCGGTGAAAGATGCGATAGTGGTGACAGCCTAGTAACTTTGACAGACTACAATCGACTCATTGTTACGAAGGCCTGCTTTCGGTTTCAAAACAGTTCTCACTAACTTCAGAGTCCATCGATTATAGGCCAACGCACCAAATTGACAACATATTTGTGAACGCTCGCTGGGATTCATCAGTTGAGAACTTTTGAGCAGACTGCTTCGCCGTGGAGGGAAACAACAATGACACTGACAACACGCTGGCAAGCACAACACCCTTTCCCATCAAGCTTTAGCCAAAACCCACAATCCTTTAGCATTGACTTACATTCCTTTAGCCAAAACCCGTAGTCCTTTAGCCTCAACGCACAAACTTTAGTCACGTCGCAGTAGACGAGTCAGATCAAAAGAATCGGAATATTCTGAAATCAACGGTTGTTGAAAAAAATCATTTTCTACAAATGTTGATGTTGAAAAGCTTAGTTAGGAAATCAGGTGTGGGGGCTGCATGCTTCAACACATGTTGATTGGAGAACGTTTAATCGATCTGCCCGTATCGTCAAACCATTTAACACATCTCGTACAGCCTCAATGTTTCTGTATAACACGTGATACTCTTAGGAGTAAAAATCTCAAGCGTAACTCAAACGATACATTGTTTTGCATTCACAAGTGAACCCTGCTCATCAGAAGGGGATGCAAAAACGTGCTGAGGATGACAAACCGTTCGTAGAAGTACACCCTCATAAATATCATAAGTTTATTAACGATGCAACGTAAGTTATAATTACCATGGTCGAGGCTTGATTATTACCGGTTTTCGTCCATAGCTTCTTGGGAAACAGTGTTCTAAAGGGGTCTTTTGTGAGCAATGTTTATTATCCTCGACCTTTTGATGTATCTATATATCAAAAACAGAGTTTCCCTTAAGTGGATGTACGAAACGGTATGCATATAACTTGCGATTTATTTCAGGGCGTGTGAATGCAAAACAATGTATCGTTTGAGTTACACTTGCGATTTTTACTCCTAGGATTATCGCGTGTTATACAGAAACACTGAGGCTGTACGAGATGTGTTAAATGGTTTGACGATACGTGCACATCGTTTGAGCCTTCTCCAATCAACGTTTGGTGCAGCATGCCACACCTCATTCCCAAACCAACATCAACATTTGTACAAAATAACATGTTTCAACATTCCTTGACCTCCGAATATTCCGATACTTTTTGATCTAACTCGTCTTCAGCGGTATGACGAAAGTTTTTACGTCAAAGCTAAAGGACTACGGGTCGTGGCTAAAGCATAGGGAGTTTTGGCTAATGACTGATGGGAAAAAGTGTAGTATCTCCACGGTAATTAGTCAAAAAGTCAGGAATTGGAGAAAGTGTTAACAAAATTAGTGGTAGATGATTTGGTAGTCACCCTTTGGATGCATGTGCATCAAAACGGTGAAATTCGAATTTGTAATTTTCATTTCAATTTTATCCAGATTTCGTCTCTTAACAATCAATTTGGTTAATCTAAGCATGCTACCGTAAACTTGTCATACATGTCTGAATTTTTCTCTGAACTATTCAGGCTATTTCATGTTTATTTATGAATTCACGTAGTGATTTCAGTCTTTGCTTTTCTTCTGTTGTTTTAGTTCACAAATCAACACTAATCGCAAAAGAGGCACTGAATTTGAAGACTCGTCATGATATTATTGCTTCGAAAAATTACACAAATATATTGCAATGGGATACACTGCGGTTATCGAAATTCCTATCATATCCATCATTCGAGATATCAACTCGCTGAGTGCAGGTTCTGATCAACATGTGTGTGAAACTTTGTGCAATGGAAACGGGACTTACTCGACTGAATATGTTGAGCCCGAATTCATGCTTCTCTGCTTCCCACTGAGGATGACGTTCATTGTCTTTTTCTCGCAAATAACGTGTCAAATTCCACTGTAAACAAATCAGGTTTCCCAGTGAAGTGACAGCAATCACGAGTTGTGAGAGACAATTCTGTATGACTCGTGGTTGCGGAAGCAGAGTGGCGTATTTGATGTTTTGTTTAATAGCATATCGACCAGAAACTCGATGGTTCTGCACAGAAAGAGGGATCACAGATTACCAAAAACATTAGTCAGAACCGAAAACTTTTCGTGGGAAAGTTTTCATTGTAGGTAGAGATGTATTGTATTCTTTGTCAGTTACACGTAAGAATAACACCTGTGGAACAGAATCAGAGCAGATACAATATAACTAGTCAAACACCGTTGATTTTATGCACTTCCATCTTCATCGGGAATCGGGAGGCTTGAGACATGTTACTTTTATAACATTTTCAATGGTGAGTTGTATGTAATGTTCAACAGTTAGGTGTCTATCTGAATAACTTTAGAGATTTTCCCATTTTCTAAAAAAGATATTAGCGTCGATAAGAACTTTCCTACTCAGGCTGGTAGCCCCTCTCCTGAATAATCAGATTAGGATAAATTGCGAAAATGTTCACAAGAGAGAAGTTTATGGCTGTACATGAGACGTCTTTGGTGTAACCGCAAACTCCAACCACTCATGAAGAATCACATGTAGGCCCGAGCCATTCAGTCGTTTCAGCCAGTTGAGACTGACAATTATTCATTAAAAGTAGAAGAGAAATACAAACCGACTGCACTCCAGAATTGCTTTCCGCATAGCACTGAACGTGTATGTGGGACGGATTGTTGAGCAATGTGGCGGAGTTGCAGCCATCGGTCTGGTAGACGAATGCACAAATTGGACAAAATGACGGACTGTGAAATCTGTGCATACTTTTAACTGCCAAAGGTATCTGGATTTCCACGAATGAGACGTTTATCCTAGTATCACTCAGCATGCTGTCGATTTCTATTCTTTTCTTTATTTCCTTGTTTGGTTCATGACCCCAATAGAGAACAAAAACAAATCATCGATAGATGGCATTTTCAGTTAGAACAAAATGAAACTGACCACGGTTCATAATAAAAATGGCTGGATAAACCTGATGATACCCAGGAGTTGATTCTCACTCACTGATTTCTAGAGTTTTCTGGTGATGAAGAGGTGCACCAGGTGCAGCTTCAGGTCCGGAGAGAAGACAATTTCCCATATAAACAGATATAAAGATTATATGCATTGACCAGATGAGCATTTCAATTAGAAATAATACAGTTTGATATGATTTTTAAAATATAATGGTCTTTCTATTTTCCGCGTACATGAGAAAACCGATCGTTGATGAATCTATATGAATGTGAATTTAATTCACATGCATACCAATGATTTACATTTCATAAAACAAAGTTATAAAAACCAAGTATTTTTTTAACCATCTCTTGCAGCACCCGTGTGAAAACTGTAACTAGTTAAGTGACTCAAGGCGATACTTACGGCCACATTGTAAAGCGTCACATTTCCGTCTTCTTGTACCACACAGAGCAGTCCAAATGACTGTTTGTTGGACGTGTCGAAATCCACACTGGGGAATGCAGACCACCTGCTTGAAGCACCTTGTGAGACAAATGGTAACAGGGCAATCACCGGACTTTGCGAGTAACGCATGTGTTCCTCACAGTGAGCAAGACACTCCCAGGACTGTGGAATGAAGATAAAATGGACTAGGGAATAAATCGAGTCAAACTTAAAGTTATATTATGGGAATTACTTACAAGCTCATGTTTCTCTTTCCCCATTGGATATTAACACAATTGAATCATTTCAGGGGGAAAAGTAATCACATACAGTTCCAGGTAAGAGAAATTAGAGATTGTAGGCCTCAATGAATTTGAGTTTGCTTTTGATGGTGTAGGAGGGAGAGGTGTACCAAAGTTTCATCGAGTCTCCGCTTGAAAGATTCAATAGTTGGTACACAAACAACGTGAGATGGAAGGGTGTTCCAGGTACTGATCACGATATTTTATTAAATGCTTCTATCTGGCTACCCCTTCACCAATTGTGAAAAATTTCGTTGTTACAAAAAGGTTACTGTGATGCAACTGATCAAAGATTCACAAACCCACCAATATGACGTGCATTCTTTCGCTAAATTCATTCGAAAAACTTAAAACTGTTCACAAATTCGGTCAAACGGACAATCAGACAGACAAATCAAAATTCATTATTTCTTAACTGAACATTAGAAGTAACACCATCAATTACCACAGTTTTTGTGAATCAAGATAGCGTATGAAAAGAATCAATTGACATGCGAAATAGATATTGTCCATTAGATTCAATAGAATGGTAAAGTTCCATTCACTGTCGATGAATCAACACAAAATCGGCTTTAAGCCAGCCTAATATGAGAAATACGTGCCGATCCTCCCATCGCGGTTCAACACTCCTCCACCTCCCGACAGTGTGATCAATTAGTCCAACTTCGCAGAAGCCACATGACGAAAAAAAGACAGATGGCGACTGGTAGCACGCGTTTGAACTAGAACCACCTTGATGACAGCTGATAAGAATGCCAAAGAGACAACTGTCACTGACCTTCAGTTGACAGAGTGCACATTTCCGGTTTATTGCAGTGTGCCAATAGAAGAAAATGTGAAAGGCAGTGCTGATTATTACTGTTTATCACCGTGAATCGTACATTACCTTAGATATGTATGTGCGGAAAAAGTTTTTGTAGTGATATGTTGGCAAGTAGTCCTACAAACTAAGGAAGTAATGTTTCTCTCGGCATATAGAATTTATTTTGACGTACGGGAAGCCTTTAAAAACAACGGAAATAAATATTTTTCAAATGCTTCCGATGACGCATTAATTTTTCATACAATCTGACTTTGGAGAGGACAGCCGCTGGAGATAAACCCACACTCGTATGATACCTAAGAATCTATGTTGCGTAGGCTTTATCAGCAGAGTTACGGCTGATTCTACGTGAAGTGTACTGTGGTACTCAGCTCATTTTGCATCTGGTGTCCACGTGCGTTTTTAGTTGTTTTTTATTGCGCAAATGAGAACTGATCAGAGCTTTAAGTGTAGCCACATATGTCAGCTTGTTTTGCGGGGTTTCTTTGGAGGCGTAATCAGTGTAGATTCGTGGGTTCCATTACGAACGAGGATTCAGAGGTTTTCAGAACCGGAATCCATGAAAAAGTTTTTCGAATTTCACCAAAGTAGCACATAATCTTCTGCAACTATTGGAAAGAAATATGTAAAATTTACGAACAATGGCCGTTCATCCAATCGTAGTTGTTATTCTAATGTAGCACGATAGCCTATTCACCACCGATACAACATAAAGATTATCTCAGAATGTATTTTTTGGCTTAGTCGATTTGTAAAGGTTTCCAATACTATCTTTGGTCCCCAGTCTGGTTTCCACTACTTGAGAAATCATTATTTCGTCCATCTTCGATGCACTTCATTAGCTCGAGCTACTGTTAGGACACAAAAAGTACACTGTACTCAGAAAACCAATAAAAGATGAAACAGCGGGTCAGCGCTGTTTGTCGATCATCACAAAGTATTCTTTGCGAAACAGAGTATCTATTTTTTGTTCGCTTGATTTCCCCAAAACGAGTTTAACGAATCTCTCAAAGACCGAATACGTCAGTTTGGCCTTTTGGTTTGGATATTGAGAAAGTATTTGAATCTCAGAATCGGTATAAAAACGATTGATGCGTTTGAGATATGAGACATGTGAAAACGTGTGAAAGATAATGATCATGTGTGCTGGGATTTTATTTACCCTGGGCAGTTCTGCGTAGATTGTAGACTATCGATGGATCTCAATAAAACCAAACACTTCCTAATTTGGTATTGATCAGAGTAACCATATTAATTGAATTCGGTATTTTGTGATATTTAAAAGATAGATTGTGGTAATTAAACTGTATTCAATTCACTTTCGGTCATAAATGTGCCCGCTGATTATTTAATTCAGGATCGCATCTTTTGATTATAAGCCTAAATCGTGAATGCCACTATCAGTGCTTAAGTGGAATACCCTTTCATGCACATAAAGTTATCGGTGCAGAGATGCCAGTGTAGAGTGTGAACATGCTGATTTATGTATTCATTTGAAAACTCTGTCGAATTCGGCCCACCGATTTTGGTATTGGCTATTTATCGTACCGCTTCACTCAGTTTCTGCTAGTTTAGAAGCAAACTTCGTGAACAAAAAATTACTTCAAAGTAAACATTAAACAAATGCAGTTTCAGTTTTTCGCATAAATGAATCACCTTTAAGCAAGTAATATGTGATACCACAAGATGCTTACAGATTCTACCCACGGATGTATAGTCCTACATGTGGTGGTTCGTTGGCTTACATGTAAATAGTGTTGTGCTAGTCGCTCATTAACCTGTCCCATATCAGCTTTGTAAAGAGTGTAGTAAATGATGAACAAACATGGTGTGGTTTGATGGGTTTGTTTTGTTTCTGAATGTGAACACTTCAATTAAAGTCAACAGGACATTCACCAATGACAAGCCTTGGATGTATTGCGCAAACATTTTATCCTTATAAGGAATAATATATTGGGATCCACCTGCACTCGAAACCGAACATGACATAATTAGTCCAACGCGTTAACCCTTCCTCTTATGTGGACTGTCTCTCAACAGTTGAAGATGAAAGGGGGGAATAGTTGCTCGGTGCATTGAATACTTTTAAATTGTGATTAACACTGAATCTGCTCGAGGAACTCAACTTCCTAAAGTAACCGAATCTCCCGAACCGTTCCATTTGCTAAAGTTGGGGTCAAGCAGATGCCAATTTCCTGTTCAATGGTACTGTGATTCAGATTAAAAGTCAACCCTCTGAGAGCCGATAACTGCCTGATACTGTTTGCACTGTCGATAGTTTCACCAACAATGACGTATAAGCGTCATATCAAGTAGCGTTGAAGTGTAGCAGCAAGGTGTTGAGAGTCAGTCCGGCGCATCTCATTTACAACCCCTGGTGCTCAAATATGGATCCGGAGGGACTTACGGATATATATCCTAACAAGGACGAAACAGCTGCACTGAGTGTTTCCAAGGGTTTTCAGGATTTTTGCTTTACTGCTGCATCTTCCTAAACAAAAGAGATTTTTTATCGTTTTTGTATAATTTTTGGGTATGTGAACTATAGAATACTCCCAGTTGCTACAACTATTGCTTATCTTCAGTTGGTCAGCATTTAAATGCATTTTTCGTGCTAAATAGCAGACGAACCTTCAAATCGTACACGGACACGTTGCAGTCTCCATAGCAGACACCAAGCCAATTGGGAGGTGTTGTTATCTGTGAGGCCTCACAAGTATCGCCAAACTGTTGAGAGTTATAGTGAAACTCCACTTTGAATCCATCCAATGGGCCTAAGCAGATAAGCCGCACTGGTTTATTAACACAGATAGTCTCCTGTGCGTTCTTCCGAGCAGATATGCGTTCTTCCAGGGACCCGAATGGACTTTTCACTTCAATAGGCACAAGTTTTGGCATCATGGACACTTTGTTTGCCTGGGAGAGAAACTGAGCTCTCGGATCGTTTGGGCTTGATTCGCATAACGGGTCCATGGAAGCACTTCGTCCCTTCACAGGGAGGGCTAGTTTTGTTTCTGTCTCACAGGTGGATGCGCTTCTAGCTTCACTGTTTGAGGATTGCCCCGGACGAATGATGCGTAACGGCACTCTCTTGGTTTGCTTTTCATTACTGAATGCAGAAAAAGAAACGAATCAAAAGTTACAGTTGATGGCATGTGTCGTCCAGAGCAGTCATCAATTTAAAGATGGCATTTTACTACAGATTAAGTCCTTTTTGAAAGGAAAAGCCATATACAGAATGATCTTAGTCCACGGTGTTCATGATTTTTGGGTATTTTCCTTGAGGTTTATTTAACACGTTTTCATTTCATTATTGATTAGGTTCTTGATGCGTTTCAAGAAATTCTGACATGAACAGATGAGGATCCTGCTCTAGTTTTGAATCCATGCTTGGGTACTATATTGTTATTTTACTTTTTGTCCCTTCGTTAGATTTAATTTGGACGCAACCATTGCATCAGGTACCAAAAAACTAGAATGTTTTCGTCAGAGATAATTCATGGTTATAATGGTGTATTTTTTGGAGGTTGCTGCTTGGTCTATGTAAAATGTAAGTATGTTCACGTTAGAACTCATTGGTTGAAATATCTACTCCCTTTTATTACCGCTATGGTTTTGTAGGCGTTTTTAAACTTACACAGACGAGTAATGTTTGGTGGTAAATAAAAGCTCGTATCAAGCCAACATCCATTTTCTGAGTTGATTGCCTCAACAACTGTATTGAAAGTAACTTCTTACATTCCTTTTATTCAAAATATTTCAAGATACTCGAAACCGAAATTGAATGTTTATCTGAATTTCATTGTTTGCTTCTAGATGTCGGATTGTAGTTGACTGACCGTTTAACATTTTGTCTAATGGCAGATTGATGGAAATTAGTTTTTTTTACCTCGATGTTGTATTTGTTGGTTTTCTCTAATTGAACAAGATGAGAGATGGAATCCATTCCAAATGATTTAAGCAAGCGATAATGAGTAATTTTAGGTAGAAATACGAAACAATCACAGAGCCAAATTATTCCTTGTTTATGAACTTGGATTTATTCCCATTTCCAAATTTATTCCATGATCTGGCTTACTCATGTTCGTTTTCATGAGTTGTTGCCTGATAGGAGCATTCCATTTTATTGAACTGATCGAGCCCTAAGCTGAGGAATCTTTACGCCAGACTTACATTGTCGGTCACTCACAAAATGCATCAGAAGCACTGTGCAACTCTATCGTTTTTACCAGGAATTAACCACGCTGCATACCTATTTAATCCACGGGGATTGGAACTCAGGTAAAACGAAGTTCTTCATCCGATGGATTGCCCATTTGAGCTGTTGAGGATGGCCGTAGAAAGGTTGGTTTATGTCATTATCAATAATAGAGTAAAATCGGGCGATCATAAACTATTGAGCTGTACTGTAGTAAGTTAATCGCAGTGCCAAAGGGAAACATTTAATTTTCTAGATAATGCTTTAATCAGATATCACATCAGGTCTCATGGGATCTAATCCAATTCCAGTGTGATGAATTAGAACTTTATTTTCAATAATCCAGATCTTTTCATTCCAATCAATTACTACTCCATCTGATTTTCCATTTGTAATCAACACTACAAATATATTGTTTACCTGCGTCTTAAATACACGTCTATGCTGACTGAGTAAATCGCCAAGTTATGTTCCATCATAATCAGAAGATCACCGAAAGATAAGGATCAATTCTGAGCTCCAAATATCGGACAAAACAACAACGAAAATGCTGTACCTTATATGTTTGTTCTCCTTCCATCTAGCATCGTAGGCAAAATGTAATTTTACCGAATGCAGTAATTGGACAACATTCGGGCGTTTAGTTATGTAAAACATGATCCAATATTTACTCACACGTATTTAGGGCAAATCAATTCAATAACAGTTCAGAAAAAAATACAAGTTGTGATGGTCTTTTAGAGACATAGGGCACCAAAAGCAGTTTTATAAATCTTGGTGAAAAATACTGGTGGAGAAGAATAACAAGAGACAGGGAGCTCCTCTGTTCTTGCTGAACCAGTCACTAAGGGCGGGGTAGGAGTTGTTTAGCATTCTATCCCCGGATGAACTGTAAAACTTAGTCTCAGATTCAAGTTTTAACTAACTCCAAAAATTGAAATATATTCCTCATGCTATAATTAAAATCAGTTTCCTTTTGCACACATTCAATTCGAATCAGTGGTAATAGACTCGGTATACAGTTAGAAGTTAATTCTTAGAAAACGACTGAATATTTGACTAGGGATGAGGGCTTCTGAATCCTTTTGAATTCTTCACTTTACAAGTACCGATGATGTCACCTCGGCTGGTGATGAAACGTTTCCAAACAAATTGCCAAGCTCGGCGAACAGGCGAAATGGAATCCTTTTGAATTCATTGATCTTCATTCAGCCACAACAGATTTATTGGGTTACCGGAAAACTTAGAGTAATCGGTTTACAACTATTACCATGTGACACGAGCGTCACATCTCCCGAGTAGCTATTATCAGTTGTCAGTACTGCCAAATAGGAATTAGACTGCAGCTTATTGGGTTGTTGGTGTCAAATGTATGTACAGCTGAAAATCTGCTGTAATTGACAGGTAATACCATGGAATGCGATGCGAATTGGGCAGCGTCAGAAATTCATCGTTATCTGCTCAATAGGGTGCCGCATAAAGTTGCTAGCTTCACAATGCCAGTTTCCCCATGGCAGTGAAGTCACATATGTTTACAGTGAGGTAAATTCTATATAACATTATCACATTACTAACCAACAACATGAAAATTAAGTGTGGTTAATCCTGTACAACTACAAATTTTGTTAAATTAGCTAAACACAGCACTGTGGAAAGTTAGACTCCTGATTGATTTAGCTAAAAAAGAACACTATGACGGTTTATGAGCTATGCATCAATGGTTATAAGGTATAGATTATCAAATGGCGCACAAGTGTCGATTATATTCCTGATTTTCAACCTGGCGTAGAAGGAATGAAAGTTTAACTAGAACGTTTATCTTCGATACGGGTCTTCACACACCAGTAACTCCTACAAATGTGCCACACACTCGAATTAGTTAGATAACCTGGGTATTTGATAATCGTGAGGAAAAAATGAATATTTGCTTTTTTTCCTACTAAGACCTAGTAAACATTAATTTTCTCTTTAGTTTATAACAAAAATTACAATATGTGATATGACTTTTGGATCCCATCAAATTACATCGCATATTTTACAACAGTAAAAATATGCATCATTACACGTCAGAATTTACTGTGGTGCTGATAGAACTTTCCCATGAATTTTTGTTATACCAGTTGTGAAGATGGAGCGAAACAACTAAGTTCAACCTGCCCCCCCACTGATGATACATGGTCTTCTTGTTAGGATGGTTCCAAATGGATCTGGGTTCCGGGAATATTTGAGACAAGTGTGCAAAATCAGTATCCCTTATGAACTAACGCAAGCACTGTTTCGAATTGTTTTCGAAGGACACATAATGCTAACTACCCAGTTAAGTCTTGAAAAGACAAAGATATCTGTGAAAGTGCTCTCTTCATATTACATTGAATGATACGTAGACAGAATTGCTACACTTTACATCCCCTATGCATGATAGATGTTCACACGTTACTCCGGGATGCGATAAACAACGTACGCAGAACACCAAAGCGGCAGATTTCACAGTCATTACGACTGGGAGTCTAGGACATAAATATATATGCGTTGATAGTTACGCATCAGTTTTACTCCATGTGGATGAAAGTTTTTCATCTGAAGTAGTCTCACTGATTCATATGACACAGCGGTGATCAACCGACAGTTTTAGTATTCACATATGATGATGAAGTCAGAATGTGACATAATGCAATACAATGAGGATGTGGATTAGCGATAATGCGGACAGCACACAGACGATGACCGCGGAGAGTAGTGGAGGGTAACGGAACACGAAAAATCCGAACCGGCAAAAAAAACAGACAATTGTAAGAGGATAATTAGAATGACTGAGATTAACCTACGACGGATCGTCAACAGACTTTTCATTGTTTTGTCCAGATTCGGGTAATCGTTCCGGACGGGAGGAGGAATGCGAAAGCGAACGATTTGAAACCATCCCATCGTTGTTCGTTGGTGAAGATTTTAGACGAATCGGTGCGGCTTCCGGAATAGATTCCGGTCCTTCGTTTTGGGGGAGTCCACTCGTTGGTGTATTTGTGCGAGCAGATTCGATGTCCTCTTCAGAGTATTCTACCAAAGGATCGAATACAGAACTGAGACGTCCCCCTGTGATTGGCTTACTGGCTCGCAAGCTTGGACTGTTCAAAGGTTGATCTTGTGAGTCGGAATCGGCAGATTCTACTGGTGTACCTGAGCGTGGAAATCTGCTCTTGTTTCTCGACTCTGGTTCTGGTGACGGATTTCTCGGGTCGTGATTTGATCGATCTGCTGAATTTTGACGATATCTCATGGATGATTGTGCGTTGTCATCAACCGGGTATCTGAATGAAAACGCAAAATAGAATCATTATGTTAATTTCCCCACCGGGTTTTCAGCATGAATAACTTGACTTTTCACAAAAAAATCCAGGGGCGTCATTAGTTCCGATTTGACCACCGGCATGGTGGTCCGGAAAACCTGACACTGCATGTCAGAGAGAAAAAGATATCTTCCAAGAGAATTACTGACTGCACACGTACTCTTTTGTTTGAAGCCTACGTTAAATGGAACACGTTACCCACTACTTCAATGACCATGATTAGGATTTTTGTAATAAAAATGCACAGAAACATTACCAAAACTTTTGATATCCTTATTCAAATTTTCAAATGTAGAGTGTTTCTCATGTTTAAAAATCCATTTATTAAAAATCATGAATTATATTGTTCTGTCAGAAAAGTCTGAAAGTGGTAAAGACATCTTTTTTTCGTACTTCTCATCAGGCCAATACA